CCAATTACGGAAGAGAGCGCGGCCTGCGCTGATATGATTGGTTGATCATAGAGGGACATCGAAATACAGGAATTTTCAAGGTTGAGAACATAAGTTAGGTTATTCAAAAGATGGATGTGTTCAGTTTGAAGGTAAACTGGACATGGTAACCCGACCAAAGAATGTTTGATTAGAAAAATTTTTGCCACTTCCCTTCTCCCTCTCCCTTCCCCATCTGCTGAAAGGGTAGCAACACGTCGCGGTTAACGCTTACCTGGTCTCTCAGTTGTATGTTATCTGCTTCCAACTGCAGCTGGTTCTGAATGCGGCGTACTCGGCAGTTCAGAGCGTAGCCGCGATTTTTCAACGTTCGCCTTTTCTGCTTTATCATTGTCACCGTTTGTCGATCATGACCCTATAAACAGCATTTTCTTTCCGGCCAGTTTTCTTTTTTTGGTCAGAACACACCTGTAGTCGCTGATTTAGTTGGCGAACGGAAATTCGCTGTAGTTCCTCATCGGTGACTTCAGGGCTTTGGGGAGATTGAGCATTACTGCTTGGTAGAGATGACAGAGCAGGTGATGTTGACATCGACGAGGTACTGTAGGATGGCGATGGTTTGCAATATGGATCCATGATCTGATTGAGTTAAAGTGAGTAAGAATTGAATTGATGTTGCGTGAGACGAGAAGCGAAATTAGTAGCCAGAATGGAAGTGTAGATGAGCAGAGGCAGACGTGGAAATAAGAGGCAGAAAGGGAAGAAAAAAGAAAACGAAAAAGTGCACAGATAGAGGGTGCATTCAGAAAGAGACGGGACGTTTTGCAGTAAAACAGTAATTTCTAAGATTTCAGCGGTGTCAGGAGCCAAACTATAGAAAGAACAGCTCCCAATGACTCCACCCTAGGTTCTGGCGAGGTTCGCTATTTCTAACGACACCATAATAAGGCGCAAAGATCGAGAAGCCGACGTTTAGATAAGCGGCACACAAACACAACAAGGAAAAAACGACTAACGAGAGATGATTCATATGTCACTTTCACAAAAGTCATATGTTTCTGGAGTTTAGAATTTTAAATTAGTTTCAATCTGCTAAATCAGTTTTTTTTCCCAGTCCAATGCTTTCACAAACCTTCTGTGTTGCTCAGATCGAGGGAATTCACAATGAATGTTTGATAGAAAAAGAGAGAAGAAGAGCAGCTTTAAAAGAAAGATTTTACGTTAAACTTACTACACTAGCAATATTCTTGCATTATCAGGCGCCATTGGTAAATCAGTGAGAAATCATTTTACTCAAAGAAATAAGGCGTTATCCAAATCAACCATTCATTCGAAGCATTCTACCTAATCATGGGTAATTTAATGAATGAGTGAGTAAATGAGTGAATGGATGAATGTGATAGATGGGACGGATGAATGAATGAGTGAATGAATGTATGAATGAATGAATGGACGAACGAAATGAGTGAGAAAATGACTGAAAATGACGAATAGGATGAAAATGATCTGATCTATTCGCATGCAATTGTCTGAGAGCAGTCGAACAGAACATCCCTTTCGCCCGTACCACTTCGAGTGCCGAAGAACGGTGGGCAGACTCAAAATGCACAGGAAAAGATAACGCTAGGAACACATTATGTACTTGCAGAAGACTTCCAGTGGGCATTTAGGTGAGTTTAAAAGGGCAGAAAACATATGCTAAGCTTTGTAAACTGTTTCTACAACAAGATGCTACTATAGAGCCATTCCATTTTTAAAAAAATAGCGAAAATCATCCTGTATTATGTAACTTACAATAATCTTGTAGTGAGGCATTAATAATAAAATGAATAAAATCATATGCAATGTAGCAAATGTCCAGAATGTCAGTTTTAACTTTGTAGTTTAATAATATAGTTGACACAATTCAAGTCAAAATTTATACATTTAACTCTTTAATTTTCTCCTCTTGATAATTAAGCAGAATTCGATAAAATACTAGAAATTTGCACCAGCTAATTTTTAAAATTCTTTCAAAGAGGTCGAGTGGCACTTAGAAAGCGATTTTATCATAAATTGGTGAACTCATCACAGATTCTTTACAGCATCTTAATATTCACTTAAAAAATATTACATTACAGACTTACTCTTGAAGGCGATCCCGATCCCACTGTTTGTGTC